TATTGCCAAGAAACAGGAAGTCACAAACTAAGAATTTGCATTGGCATATGTTGCAAACAAGGTATAAAAAAGTCAAAAATAGATTGAACAAAAATCCTTACAAAATCCAAATACAATTCTATAATATAAATATACTCAATGACTGTGATCTCTGTGTATATGCGCAACCTTATTCCACCATATTTACTTTGACACACTTTGTAAAACAGCCCACTTTGCATCTATCTGTGTGTAAACGTAAATAAATGAAATACACAGTGTTTTCAATCGAAGTTCAGGGGATAAAACCCACCATATCTTCCTCTGGGCTGTGGCATCCAAGCATGTGCTGATACTGTCTTGTGTTGACTCCAGTAGAGCAGCGTGTGCCTTGATTTCCCATCAGGTATCAGTGCAACAAAGCGCAGAACAAAACAGTGCAGATCGGAGCAGAACACGGCTTCAGCAAAAGGAGATCCACGCACTAGAGTCCAGGAGAGGGACTTACGGCTGTTTGTGGACGTGGAGGAATTATCAACTTAGACGCACAGTTGAAAATCACTTCAAACCGAAAAGGAAGGAGGTTACTTATACCACTGCAAAAATGGTGAAGGTCATGACGACGGAAATGTGGAGGATAACGCTGAAACCAAAAAAAGCAAAGCAGGAAAGTCTAAAACAAGGGTGTCAACTCATTTTGGTCAGGTGCCGGGCAAGAACAAAAATAGCTTGTCAGGAGCAAAAGAATACATTAGAATTTATGTTTTTCTTCACTGACATTACTTTTACTTGTCATGAAAAGTGTTAAACATATTGTTTTATGTACACATGATATTGTTTTATGTATGTTTGGGGCGGTACGGTGGCTGAGTGGATAGCCCTCTCGCATCTCAGCAAGAATGTCCTGGGTTCTAATCCCGGTTGGAACAGGGTCTTTCTGAGTGGAGTTTTGCATGTTCTACCCGTGCCTGTGTAGGTTTCCTTCGGGTACTTGGGTTTCCCCTACCACTAAAAACATGCTCACTAGGTTAAATCCTCCAGCTCCGGTCCTGACCAAGCCGAGCATCAACAGCGGCATCAGGATGGGTCAAATGCAGAGGATTGAATTGCCCTACAGGGATTAATAAAGTGGACTTTTACCTATAACAGGCCGTCCATTACTATCAATGCTGGAAGTAAATATTGATATATAAAAATCATGTTGGGGCCACTAAAAATTGTTTTGCAGGCCGGATTTGGCCCACAGGCCTGAGTTCAACGTGCCTGGTCTAGAAAAAACTCTTCAAACTGAGCTAAAACGGAAAAATAAAAAGACAATAATCTAAAGAAGACTGTGTATGATGTCAACACTGAAGAAACTATTGAGAAAGTAGCAGAAGATTCACAAAGAATGATGGTGTAAAACTGAAACAAAGGCAAAAAAATGCAGCTGAAAATGTGTACGCAGAGAAAAAACTTATCCTAAAGAATGACTTGACTAGTAGACAAGATAATGTAATTTTAGTTAAGTTCAAATTGCTAAACAAAATTAAAATAAATAATAAATACATATATTACAAGTGGGAAAGGCAACAATTAGGGATGTATTTAACGGTTATTTTAAGAATTTCAGTTCTTTGTGGCATGTTTTTTCTGCTTCCTTGACTTTCATTTCTTTGAGACTACTTTTCAGCTTTTTTCTGCTTCACTTTTTTCTGCTTCCTTGACTTTCATTTCTTTGAGACTACTTTTCAGAATGTTTTAACCAGATTCTAGACATGTAATGACAAACACAAAAAAAAGTTACAAGATCCACTATACAGGTTCACATACAGAGAGGTGTAGCCGTGGGACAAAGTGTGATCCCCAGAGCGGCACGGTGGCTGAGTGGATAGCACTCTCGCCTCTCAGCAAGAAGGTCCTGGGTTCGAATCCCGGTTGGACCAGGGCCTTTCTGAGTGGAGTTTGCATGTTCTCCCCGTGTCTGCGTAGGTTTCCTCCGGGTGCTCTGGTTTCCCCTACCACTAAAAATATGTACAATAGGTCTGGCATGTGCCTCCTGTACTGGCACCCCCACTCCCAAAAATAACAATTGTAAACCGCTTTGAGACTCCGATGTGCAGTGAAAAGGCGGTATATAAATAAAGATTACTACTTACAGTCTTCTTTTCATGCCGGTTATGCTTTTTAAGTCATTTTAGTCTGAATATTTGAGCTTCATACAGGGATTTGAACTGCTTACATATTGGTGTGAGCGAGCAGAGTAAAGTGTATGTGTTCAGTACTATCAGAAACAGAAAAGTTCATTAACAATTTCTGGACAGTAAATAGACACTGGGCTGCCGTCTTTAAGGACTTAATATTATTTTATTCATGAACTGATCATAATTCTGGACTTTAGATGCAACCCTTGTTTAGATAATGTGGAGAGAATTTGAGCACTGCCGGTGAAATGACCAGCATTGTTGAAAGTTCGTGTACATTTTTGGAGATTTATTGATTTTTCCAATGACTCATAATGGAGGGTGTTATTTGTTGCCACGGTAACAGGGTGAAGAATAAGTCATGTGTCTCATTGACCTTTTAGACCGGGCTGCCAAAAAATATGTATCTTTTTAAAACGATAATGTTTGATGCCAATATCCAACATTGGTTCACTATGTAGGGGGCGCTAATGCTGCAATTATTTTATTTTTTTCATATACAGGTGACCTAGGCTTGAGTTGAACGACCATTTTTTTGTCAATCAGACTTTGAACGTGCAAACAGGAGCAAATTTGCAGTTCTCAAAACTGGAAAAAAAACATCCACATTGACGACACATTCAGGTGGAGCCACAAATTATATAAAAAGGCCCAAAAAAATATCGTAGCCCCCGGAAAAGGGTATTTCAATGTGTGCCCGACCAAAATGGTGCGTGAAAGACAGAAAGATGGCAAAAAAATGTTGCAAAACTCTGATCCAGTGTATGAGAAATATGCATGAATATTGCTCTAAAATCAACTTTATAGAACTGCCACCATGACACCATTTCTAACAAAATTCAATATACAGCATCAGTGTAGCAACAGAAAATCCAGTCTGGCATTTACTCTTTAACCCATCCCAACTCTCCCAACTCTCCCTTCTTTCTATAGTTTCTCGGAATGGGTTCAGGAACTTGCCATTCAGCCTGATCGGGCAGCAGCAGGAGCGCGATGGAAAGTGATTGAAACTCTTTCCTCCAGGCTCATTTGGAGTCTTCTTTCCGAGACTGGGCCTTTGCTCCCGCTGCCAGAAACAGCGGGGCGTGGGGGGGCTCCTCAGGACTGGACTCGGCCTCAGTCGCAGGACAAAAAGATGAGATTACAACCTCTTTTGTTTGGAGGTATCAGGTGGGGCGCAGATGGAGCGTTCTTCCCTCACTCACTGGAGATTTGGCCGCAATATACGCAAAGTCAGAGAGGAGTGGGAAGACTGGGACAGGGCAACCTCCAAATATCCAAAGCAGGGATACGTGTTTTCACAATCGAATAATCGTTATCGGCGTACAATTTGTGATATTTTGTGGATACATATAAAAACGCCTATTTCTTTCGTGAGGGAACAATGTGGATATGTTCCAGTAACCAAAACTAAGAAACTGAGTCACTATGTTTTGGGCTGAGAGCTGATTGGCTGAGCAAAGATGGTTATCCCTAATGACTTCCATGGATGAAAGAGCTGATCTAAAGACGCATGATAACTGTTTTGAGAGCGAGGCACTAGTTTTCTCTAAAGGAGACATGCGCAAACATTATTTGTGAGTTTTTTAAGTTAAAGCATTGGTCCCTCTATATTGTTGTGCCATTCCGTGCCGATGCAGGAGGGTTTGAGGACACGTATGATCCGGGACATTTATGGGTGTTTATCAGAATCAGAATCATTTTTATTGCCATGTAAGTAACAGGAAATCACAGACTAGGAAATTGCTTTGGCTCGGTGCATCAGTCAGAAAAGAGAGGTAAAGAAGAGAGAATAGAGTGAGGCGTAATAAAAAAGATGTTATAGACGTTTATTAACATTTACGGACAGTGGTTTTCCAGCTCAGTATGGACCAATGGCTCCTATGTGTTTGTTATCATTGCATACATGTGTTTGAGCTGTTTGCTTCTCTGATCTGTTGTTGGTAAATCGACAACTTTGTAAAGTCCTCGGAAACAACGTCTGGCAAACACCGTCCCCTCTGGCAAAATGCCCCTATATATCTCAAACTCTGCATGATGAATGTAGATGGTGATGCATAACAAGTTTACAGGCTTTTTCCTGTATGTTTTAATATGACCGGGCAACAGTAGGATGGGTTGTTGTTTGGACCCATATTGTCTTCCAAAGCCACAGTGCCAAAAATGTATTAAAAGTTTTAATTAAAAAAAACACAACAAGAATGGTATGAATGGGAGGCAAAGGATGGAGGTGAATGGATGATCTGCAGGGAGTGTGTGACGGCCCCCTCTGCTGGGCCTGTGGTGGCAGTGTTCATGACATTCTGAGATGATGGGAGGCAGCTGGGAAGTCATGTGACCTCCCGGATGCTTCAAAAAGCGGCTTCCCCTCTCTCTCGCTCTCTCACCTGGCTTCTGGGCACCTGCCGGCGTGCCCGGACTGCCGCTACCATTCTGGGCCCTGTTGGACCAGCCGCCACGCCAGTTTGTCTTTTCATTTACACGCACTACAACACAATATTTGCACTACAACGGTTGTCCTACTGACTTTCATATACAACACCTTGCACCCCACAGCATACCATTCACTTACACTGATTTCATACAGATTCCTTTATTATTGTTTAAATAAATGCCCCACAGAGGGTTTAAAGTTCTCAGTTTGTCGTGTCCTCCCTCTCATGTTATGGCCTCACGAGCCGGGCCGTAACAAATGGGGGCTTCGTCCTAAACATATTTGGAAAGTCATTCAGTGGTGTTTTGGTATCTCCCCTAGACGTGGTAGTGTGTGTGGATTCAGAGTTTGTACGCGCGCTGTGCGTGAGTGGATCCATTGACCTACTTTCTGTGAATCTGTGAATGGACGTGACGTCACCGCTGCTGAGGAGGCGGGTGTACGTGCAGTAAAGTTGTGGTGAGGACACGGCTTCGCGTGGAAGTTATTGGTTCATTCAAGACTACAGGTGAGTGAAGTGTTTTCTGTCTTGTGTCGCACGCAAAGGGCTTCTGTCTACAGCTGGGTCTCCTGTTAGGCGAAGTGGTGTTGCCGCTTCAGGCTTCACCTGTTTTGTTTTGTTTTAATAGTGTCGTGGGAACGCGGTTGGTGTTCAATGCGCGAGCATTGATCTCGGGGGCACTCCGTGGAACTGTTTGCTCCACTGGTTTCGTGCTTAATATTCCCGCTGCTGAACCACGTGAAGAGCTAGGCACAGTTAGGCAGGTGAGTTTTGGGATAGGTAGGCAAAGTATAGAGGGGATTCTGGTTGTGTGAGCCTGTTGCTGCGCACTGGTTGTGACACTTCCACTCGCAGTGTAGTAGTCTGGTTTGTTTGTTTATGGCTAACGCGTGTGTGTAGTTTGGTATGAGTATGGAGTCTGTGGTAGAGGATTTTGTGGCTGATCCCACTGTGGGGAGGCTTGATGAGTGTAGATTTGTTGGCGCTCGCGGCGCACTATGAAATTTCCGTGTCAAAGCAGGAGGTGAAGAAAGGGCTTAAAACGCAGGTTCAGTCAGCGTTGGTGGCGCAGGGCATTTTCTCTCCAGTGGTTGTGTCTGATGCGGAGATGCGGAGAATGGAGCTGCAGCTGGAAATGCGAAAGTTAGAACTTCAAGAAAAAGAAATACAGGACAGAGAGCGGGAAAGAGAGCTTAGGTTTCGGGAAAGAGAGAGCCAACAGCAACATGAGTTTGAGCTGCGTAAACTGGAGCTGGAGGCGAGTTTCAGACAGGCGTCTACTCGTTTGTCTATCAGCCAGAGCAGTAGTTCCCAAGCAGAGTTTGACGTGAACAAATGCATCAGATTAATTCCACCATTCACGGGGAAGGATGTGGATAAGTATTTTGTTTTGTTCGAGCGTGTGGCGAGTACTTTGAGCTGGCCCGAGAGTGTCTGGCCGCTGCTGCTGCAGTGTGTGTTCACGGGGAGGGCGCAAGAAGCGTATGCCTCGCTGTCACCGGAGGATAGTTTGCAGTATAGCAAGGTCAAAGTGGCAGTCGAAAGGGCGTATGAGCTGGTACCAGAGGCGTACAGGCAAAAGTTTCGCCGCTACAAAAAGTTAGACACTCAAACCTACGTTGACTTTGGGCGTGAGAAGATCTCATTGTTTGAGAGGTGGTGCGCTGCACAAAACGTTAGTACTGTGGACCAGATAAAAGATTTGATTTTGATGGAAGAGTTCAGAAACTGTGTTCCGGAGAAAATTGCTGTTTATCTCAACGAACAGAGGGTTGGGAAAGTAACAGAGGCCGCAATGTTAGCGGACGAGTATGTGCTGTCCCATAGAGACTATGCGCAGACTGTGGGCTCGAGGAATGTTAAAGTATGGCGTGAGGAGGGCTCTGCTAGACCAGATGTGTCAAAGGTTAGTGCTAAAGGCTCGACCACAGGTGATTGGGACCGTGTTTGTCACTTCTGTCAGAAGCGTGGACACATTAAGGCGAATTGTTATGCACTGAAGAATAAGTCTGGGGGGTCCCACTCTGGGGGGTCCCACGCTGATCCTAAGGGCGCGGGGTTAGCGGTACCGGTGCGTAATGGGTGTAAAGAGCGTAATGAGCATGAGGTGGAGCGTGTTGAGTCTGAAGCTTGTATCTCGTACCTTCCGTTCATCCGTGAGGGCTATGTGTCGTTGCTGGGCAGTGACAAGAAAGTGCGGGTAAAGATATTGAGAGATACGGGGGCTTTTGATTCTTTTATTTGTGCCGATGTATTGCCATTGTCCAGTGAGTCTGAGACTGGGGCATGTGTGCCAGTTCGGGGCATGGGATTGAACATCCTGTTTGTTCCATTGCACAAAGTGTCTCTGGAATGTGAGCTTTTTTCTGGAGAAGTGGCGTTGGCTGTACGACCTGCATTGCCGATAGCGGGGGTTTCTGTCATTTTGGGTAACAGTTTGGCGGGGTCTCGGTTGTGGGACGCTGCTCCGTCACTTGTGCCTATGGAGGCGGATTCCGGGCCACTGGTTGTTCCCCACACCGATGGAGATAGTGCGGAGTTTCCGGAGGTGTTTACAGCGTGTGCCGTGACTCGGGCCATGGCGCGGGCGCAGTCTGGGGAAGAGGGAGGTGTGAAAAACATTATCTTTCCCTTGTCTGATTTTCCTGTGGCTTTGACTCATAGGGAGCTGGTGCTGGAGCAGCAGGCTGATGTGTCCCTAAAGAGCCTGTTCGAGCAGGTGCGCCCTACAGGTGAAGCAGTGGACAGTGCGTGTGGGTACTTCCTTCAGGAGTCACTGTTGGTGAGGAAATGGTGGTCACACGTTGGCCTAGCCAGTGAGCCTGTTTTTCAAATTGTTGTGCCCAGTAAATTTCGCTCTGCTGTGTTAAAGGTGGCACATGACGAGTCTGGACACTCTGGCGTGACTAAGACTTACGACCGGGTCCTGAGACATTTTTTTTGGCCTCGTCTTAAGAAGGACGTTTCAGCATATATTAAGACATGTCATGTGTGTCAGCTTACAGCCAAGCCCAACCAGGTGTTGAAGCCATTCCCATTAAGTCCAATTGGGGTGACATCTCAGCCATTTGAGCACTTGGTTATAGATTGTGTGGGCCCATTACCACGCTCTAGGGCTGGTTCGTGTTATTTGTTGACTGTAATGTGTCAGCTGACGCGGTATCCTGCTGCCTATCCGCTAAAAACAATCACTGCCAGGGCAGTGGTGCGTGCCCTAACAGTTTATTTCTGTGTTTGGCATTCCCAAAGTTATCCAATCCGACCAGGGCACTAACTTCTCGTCTCATCTTTTTGCCCAGGTTCTAAAGCAGCTTCGGGTGCGACATAGGATGTCTACAGCATACCATCCTGAAAGCCAGGGGGCTTTAGAGCGGTTCCATCAGTCTCTAAAGTCTCTACTGCGTGCCTATTGTACAGAGCTGGGAGGAGACTGGGAGGAAGGATTGCCGTGGTTGATGTTGGGGGCCCGTGAGGTTACCCAGGAGAGCACTGGGTTTAGCCCTAATGAACTTGTGTTTGCGCATACAGTAAAAGGTCCACTAGCAGCAGTGGCAGGCGATTTCAGGGAGCCTGAACCTCCAAAGAAACTTGTGGACTATGTGAATGGGTTTAGGAGACGCTTGTATGCAGCGAGAGCATTGGTGCAGGAGAAAATGGCTGCTACACAGGGGAAAATGAAAGCACTGTTTGACCGGCACTCAGAGGTGCGTTCATTTTTGACGGGGGATCAGGTGTTAGCCCTGTGTCCAATGTTAACCTCTCCTTTTCAAGCAAAGTTCACAGGTCCTTATACGGTACTGGAACAAAAGTCTGACCAGAACTACGTAATCTCCATGCCTGAGCGCAGGAAGAAGACTCAACTGTGCCACGTGAACCTGCTGAAGCCATACTATACCCGTGAGGCTGATGTGGAGCAGCTGGGGGGTGGCGAGGCTAAGGCAGCGTGCGCAGTTGATAGGTTTGTTGGGGTGACTGAGTTCAGCACCACGGACAGCTCCCTGTCACCTGGTGTGAGAGATGACAGTGACGCTGGTACTCTGGACAGCGCTCTTGTTCAGGGGCGTCTTAAAAACTCGGAAACTTTGAGGAACTTGGACTCTCTGTTTGCTCATCTGTCGAGGGACCGGGCAAAGCAGTTAGTGCAGTTGGTGCATCAGTTTCCTGCTTTATTTTCGGACACACCGGGTCGCACACATCTACTAGAGCACGATGTAGATGTGGGTGACTCCAAGCCTATAAAGCAGCGTTTTTATAGGGTTAATTTTGAGAAGCGTCAATACTTGGATGCAGAAGTAAAGTACATGGTTGAAAATGGGATTGCAGAACATAGTTGTTCAAGCTGGGCGTCCCCATGTATTCTTGTGCCCAAATCTGACAACTCTATGCAATTTTGTTCAGATTTTCGCAAGTTGAACGCGGTTACTAAACCAGACTGTTTCCCATTGCCGAGAATGGACGACTGCGTGGATCAAGTTGGTTCCGCTCGGTTTGTCAGCAAATTCGACCTTTTAAAGGGATACTGGCAGGTGCCGTTAACTCGACGAGCCCGTGAAGTCTCCGCGTTCATTACACCAACAGGCTTGTACTCCTATACAGTCATGCCATTTGGTCTACGAAATGCACCCGCAACATTTCAACGACTCATGAACAGCGTCATAGGAGATATGCCGGGTTGTGCGGTGTATTTAGACGACGTTGTTGTGTATTCGGACTCGTGGGAGGAGCATTTGGCACGCATTGAGGAGCTTTTCACTCGTTTGGTAGGGGCGAGGCTAACTGTAAACCTTGCAAAGTGTGAGTTTGCGAAGGCTACTGTTACTTATCTGGGACGTGTCGTGGGTCAAGGCCAGGTCCGACCCGTTGCAGCTAAAGTTGAAGCCGTTGAGCAGTTCCCTGTTCCGGTCACAAAAAAGGAGCTAATGCGATTTTTGGGACTCGTTGGGTACTACAGGTGTTTTTGTAAAGATTTTTCATCGGTTGTCTCACCATTAACAAACTTGCTGCGTAAAGATATTACATTTGTGTGGTCTCCAGTCTGTCAGCAGGCATTCGAGCAGGTGAAAAGACTCCTCTGTGCTGCTCCCGTGCTTGCCGCGCCTTGTCTGACCCAACCATTTCATCTCTACGTGGACGCAAGCCACGTGGGCGCTGGGGCTGTCCTTACGCAAATGGATAACCTTGGTATCGACAGGCCGGTCAGTTATTTCTCTAGGAAGTTCAACAAACATCAGCTGAATTATTCAGTGATTGAGAAGGAGACCTACGCGTTAATTCTAGCGTTGCAACACTTTGACGTCTACTTTAATGGCAGCGTTGAGACAGTGGTCCACACCGACCATAATCCGCTCACGTTTTTGTCAACTTTTAAGTGCCCAAACCAGCGGTTAATCCGTTGGTCACTGTTTTTACAATCATATAACTTGGACATCCGCTACATTAAAGGATCCGATAATGTGGTAGCTGACGCTTTGTCGCGCGCTCCGTTGTGATAGTGTTGCCATTGTATGTTCCTCTCTTCTTTCTCACTCTCCTTGTATCCAGGTTTCTGTGTGCACCAGTTGCTGGACGGAGGAGTGGACTGGGACGGAGGAGTTGGAGGACGCGCTGGTGGCCGTTCTTTCTTTTGGCGTCTCGTTGCAGGGTTCCTTTGGGGGAACCTGCATTTTAAGGGCGGGGGTGTGACGGCCCCCTCTGCTGGGCCTGTGGTGGCAGTGTTCATGACATTCTGAGATGATGGGAGGCAGCTGGGAAGTCATGTGACCTCCCGGATGCTTCAAAAAGCGGCTTCCCCTCTCTCTCGCTCTCTCACCTGGCTTCTGGGCACCTGCCGGCGTGCCCGGACTGCCGCTACCATTCTGGGCCCTGTTGGACCAGCCGCCACGCCAGTTTGTCTTTTCATTTACACGCACTACAACACAATATTTGCACTACAACGGTTGTCCTACTGACTTTCATATACAACACCTTGCACCCCACAGCATACCATTCACTTACACTGATTTCATACAGATTCCTTTATTATTGTTTAAATAAATGCCCCACAGAGGGTTTAAAGTTCTCAGTTTGTCGTGTCCTCCCTCTCATGTTATGGTCTCACGAGCCGGGCCGTAACAGAGTGAAAATAAGTTTGTATCAAAAAAGCTTTCCAAAAATACAAAATTTAGAGCCACGGCCACAAAGGAAACGGACGAACTGGCAGAGACTGATGGACTGAGGAGGCTTCAGATACCAGAGGTAAGTAAGATGCAGGTGTGTAACTACAGATATAGTTTATCATCCATTTGGGGTAATATGACTCTTTTTAAATATATTTTTACACACCCAACTTTATACGGGAAAGCCCAAACTCGTAACGCTGTGTACTGTAAGTGACTCTGTGTTACCTGACCCACATTTAAACAACAGACTATCAAACAGCTTGGTTTTATTGCTGTCTAAATTACTGCTGTATTTGGTCAGAGGATGCACACTGAGAACTAGACCACAAGGCGGGTTAAATACTGAGTCGTTTTGACACACCAGCCTGTGTCTCTCAGTGAGTAAGAAAAGGGTCTTGTGTTTTTGCGCAATGGAAGTTCAGCGATAACTCAGCCTAGCCCTGTTTCCAATTTCAATTCATTTGTGTATAGCTCAGATCAGTGAATCAAAAAGTTCAAACACAAGAAATGCAATGACAAAAAATCAAGCCCCGGTGATCCAAGATGGCGCCCTATTCAAATGAATGGCTTGTGCTCTGTAGCGCATGGGACTTCACGGAGACCGGGAGATTACCGGGAGATTATTAGAACTCTCCTATATTTGGGCATCGTCTGGTCCTCCCGGTTCTGCGCAGTGGATGAGCTCCCATAATGCATTGCGCCAAATACGAGTGTGTGGCTCTCACGCACACAGATGGGCTTGGCCGCGCTCTGAACAATCAGAGCTGCTGATCAGAGCAGTGGTAGAGCGGATCCAGAGCGGGAAGGCAGGGAGCAGAGTTTGTGGCAGTAAAGTGTGGAGGTTCTCTGTCAGCTGAGGTTGAGCTGTTTTAATTTACATTGAGTTCTATGGGACTTTTTTCTGGGTAGCCCACGTGAATTTAGTCTGCAGTACCACAAATCTTGTTTGTTTGTTTATTACAATATCCTTCTCAACAGCTCACCACTCTTAACAATTCATTTTCTCCTGTTTTAAAAAAAAAAGAAGAAATGTGATGTATTATGTTTGCCTCTCGAACATTCTAATGGCACTATCTATTTTGCTGTCCATTCTAGAGTGTGTGCGTGTGTGTATTCTGTAAAATTAGCTTCAAAAGAAAAAAATATATAATTGGAAGAATATACCTACAAATATACATAGATATATTGGATAAAAATCGGTCTCAGAAGTAGGTATGTCATTTTATTTATATTGTGCCTTTCACAGACAGTCACAAAGCAATTTTAGATTATTGCTGGCAGTTCTCCTCTGACTCCACACGGCGATGGGAGATGTCGCTAATTGTCATACAGATCAAGGCAAAATTTATATTCTCCAAATACAGCGTCATTTTACCCAGGATATAAACAAAACTAATTTAGAGAGAGAATTTGAGATTTGCTATGACAATGATGTAAAAGAGTAAGCCAGGGGTGTCCGTTAAGAGATGTATTCTATGTGCATTTTGATTCACACCGCAGCTTTATTAGGGCCATGTTTGCAATGTTCTGACCCAGTATATAAAAACAAAGCTGACGACTGGATCCAAGAGGTTCTGAGCTCTACAACAAGATACAGAATGACGATATTGGAGGCGCTGAAGTTGGCTGGATGACTGTGTGAAAGTGCCTCAACGGTTGCTTTGTGTTAGCGGCAGAGGGCCACATAACATGACACAGCGGGCCTCATTTGGCATATAGTAAGTACGTAAGTAATGTTTATTTATATAGCGAATTTTTACAGATGTAGGGTAACTACTTATATTGCTGATTATGTTATAAATTTAGTAGTGTGGAGCGGCTAGTCTCCGGATTAGGAACTCGCCGTTCCACCAATGGATCTGTCTTATTTATTTTGGGCACCAGCAGACGGTTGAGAGTCTACAACAGAACCAGGATATTTGCCTCGATATCAGTCTTATGAATCTAATGGGTTGAGTACGAAAGATCTGCCAGGGATTTCCTGTATTTATAAACACGGCGGTCGGGAATGGAATTACAGTGTTAACATGGTTTTATTGATTACAAAGTGGGATAAAAATATAACGAAAAGGGATTTCTGGTCACATTAAAAGCAGGAGTTGTACACATATCATTCAAATCGCACATTTAACGGGAACAGTCTTACTTTGAGCCGTTCAGAGGGAGATGGGTGACTGGGATGAGGATGGAGTGGAGGATGAGAATGAAGAATAGGGTGGAGGCGATGTCGTCCACGTGGTCTTTGTTCGAACTGGCGGGAGGTATGAAGCCAACGGCGTGGTCCAACTGCGGATCCAGGCGTGCACAACTCAGTCCGGAATGAGTCGCGCGTGCAGAGTCCAGAGCCAGGGCCGGCTAGTTATGAAGAGTTCATAAATCCCAACCAGAAAGGAGGCTTGCGTGAAAGCGGAAGGCCTCAGTGCGGGCGGGCACAGTCGTTGCTGGAGGCACGTACTTATGCTGCCGCAGAGTTGATAGGGAAGTTGGAATGGTGAATTCGGGAGAAAACAAGAGGAAGTTCTATGGCATTGTTCGTGTTTATATTGACTTCCCAGGGGAGGCGTGTCCATGCCGCCCCTGCCCTCTGTGGACAAACCCCTTCACAACAGACAGTTTGTAAAGGAAACACACACGATTGATGCAAATGATCATAAGACATGTACAAACACGCAGTGCATTTACATCACAGACATCAACACACACGAGTAAGGTCCGTAACGTTATCGACATAATATTACAGAGTAATGTCCTTTTCGGGTGTCCGCCTTGGGTGCAGTGGTGTCCAGTGTCCGCTAGGGAGCGCCAGAGCGCCGTGGGAGAGTCTCAGGTTGTGGAATGTCTCATGAGCGATTGCTGATGACTGATTCCTGATCTCCGTCTGGCAGGGGGCACACAGATGTCCTGTTCTGTTGTTTTATTGCCCCTCTGGGTCTCGTTGTAGTGTTCCTGGTGAATGTTAACCTTCAATTGAACCCGCAGTTGCTTTGAAGTCTCAGGAGCTAGGGAGGGCATGTTTACGGAAAGGGTCTGTTATTCACACCCGATTGGCGCTCACCTTTTCCTCACCCTACACAGACCAAGGTCACCCAAAGCACTTTACAATGTTCAGAGTTCAGATATTGTTCCAATCATTCCACACACGGTGATGACAGAAGCGAGTCGCCGAACACACTGGACCATCAGCTCCAATCAACACCATCCATTCACTCTCTCATTTACATTCAGACCTATTGTGTATGTTTTAGTGGTAGGGGAAACCGGAGCACCCGGAGGAAACCTACGCAGACACGGGGAGAACATGGAAACTCCACTCAGAAAGGCCCTGTTCCGACCGGGATTCGAACCCAGGACCTTCTTGCTGAGAAGCGAGAGTACTGTCCACTCAGCCCTGAGTTTGGACTTACCTGGTGTTAGCCATACCGTATCAGGGTTGAGACCGGAGCTTTTCGGCAGAAGGGGCAGGGGGATGTGTTTGTGCTGAAGTTCCTAGTATTAGTCAAAGAATCTAAAAGCTACATGGGCCACAAAAACAAGGTTAAAAGTTTATATGTGCTGTGTTACTGCTGTCCACCCACAAAGGAAAATACTGTTTCTTTATGAATCCACTAAACTTTTGAATATTTTTCCAACTGAATAAACAAGTTATCAACGGTGCGAACTCAATTGCCCTGTACAAAGTCATCCTCCGTTCACCTCCTTTGACGATAGAATCCATTTCTATTAAAACCCTGCTGCAAATTCTTCAATACAGGACACAGACTCCTCCTGGATTTGGGCATCAAACAACCTTCCCATTTTATTATTCCAGCGCCATCACATTACACTTGTGTATGCTAAACATTTTCCACTCTGCACCGACGAACCTTCGCAGTCGCTATCAAGAGGCATGATTCCGAATTTATATGAAGGAGTGGATTTACAGTACTCCATAGCACTGCGGACAAATACATGCATGCTTTTCTCTCTTCTTATAGTGCGATGTGGAAAGTGGCTATTCAAATACTGAGGAGTGTGGATATCAGCTCAAACTCAACAAGGACACAGTTGAAAAGGGAATACGAGAACTTCAAACTTCTCACTACAAGTACCAGCTTGTCAAAGTCAGATCTGGGCACTGCAGGGCCGGGTTAGGGCTGGGGTGTCTACGTTTCACACAGAAATTGAGCTGAAACACTTCACATGAATGAATGTTTTGGCCTCGGTCACCTCAGTGTTTTTAGATGGAGCCAGTCCTGTGGGAAGCAATTTTTGAGATTGAAGATTTTTGATCTCCAGATTTTGATAGATGCTCAAACCTGGCCAACATCATGCATACGTTTTTTTGTGTGTTTTTTTTGCCTGTCCTTGATTTTTTCATGAATATTCAATTCAAATAATTAGACCATAGTTGATAGTGTAGGACAGATAACTTTGTGACCCACACTATCAACTATAGTGTAGGTCACATGGTATTGATCCAGGAATACAGATAAAACTACCTTTCTGACTTTTTACTTTTTTATTTATTTATATTATTAGTATGTTATTATTTGTTTATTATTATACAAGAATGTATTTTATTGTACATATATATACAGTTTACTGTATATAAATATATATATGTTGGTACATTATTGTTTCCATTGTTTGTGTAAGGTTTTATTTATCTCGCAACCAACTTTTAGATATTTATCCAAATGTTTTTGAATGTTGATGTTATTTACGAAGCTGTTTCTTGTGCAGAACTTTGGAATCTTTCTTTATAAACTGTGCTATATGAATAAAGTGGATTGGGCAGTTACTATCGCCAAGGACACGTCTGTCAGCGGCGCACACTTCTCTGCACCAGACTCTTCCAGGGCCGAGGAGGAGAAGTCAAAGCTGAGTTGTTTTGAATGTCACACCAGTTTAACGTCATGTACACTTGTATTTATGCCAGCCGACACAGAAGGGCACTGGCATCCGCTTTGAGAGCCGTGGAGGAACACCAGCGGCCAACGCTCTGCAAGACATCAAACAGAAGAAGGAGAGAAGAGGAATGGACGGGAGGAGGGGGGCGGTTCTGCTGCTACGGTGAAGAAAATAGTACTGTGAGTAAAGAAAGAAAGTCTTACTTGTGTTTTAATAAATTGAAGCTTAGACAGTGATATTCAAATCACTTCAATCCAATTCAAACTTTTCTTATGTATAGCCCTAAATCACAACATTCGTTTTCTCAGAGGACTTAACAAAACCGTTGAAATCACCAACACAGATCAGAAAATCAAACTGTTCAAACATAAAGAATATACTGTAGATCACGCAGGTATTGGTCCATAGGGGGATTTGACCAATGTCCATGAGTTTTGATAAATGACCATAGATGTTGTGGTTTGTAGAGGTAAAGGTGCACTTTATTGATCCCCGTTGGGTAATTCATACTTACGTCAGGAGCAGTGGCTTGGTCAGGACTACCGGAGCTGGAGGATTTTACCTACTGTAGTGTGTATTGCATGCTTTTAGCTGTAGGGGAAACCGGAGTACCCGGAGGAAACCTACGCATTTCACAAAATGGCAGCAAGTAAATGTTGATTAAAAAAAAGAAGAATTTCATTACGTTGGGCAGATGTAAATTCTGCTCATTGGAGCAGTCAATTCTGAGCCTGCTCCATGTAACTCCTCCTGAACCCTGTACTATGTCCATCCATCCATCCATTTTCTTCCCCTTAATCCATTTCTGGGTCAGGGGGGTGGCAGTCAGAGCTGCACCCAGTACACAGAGCACCAGCCCCTCACTGATCCTCCTGCAGGTGGTGAGTCCACAGGAGCTGAGATCTTTCAGCTGGGGCTTTGGGCAAAATGGGGTTAAGTGTCTTGCCCAAGGACACAACGATAGCAGTACTCAGTAGGTCTCGAGGTGGATTCGAACCTACGACCTTCAGGCCCAAAGGCCGATGCTCTACCAACTGAGCCACTGTCGCCCCATGTTGCCCCCCTCCGTACTTTTTTATTGATACTTTTACAGGCTTCCCCTGAATGCACCAATGGCCCCTGTGCATGTAACGGCTAATTTTATATAAATGCCATGCGGACTGACTGACCTGGAAAGACGGAGGTTATGTCTGCACCTCGCTCAATGGCCTTCACCAGTGTGTGTGTGTGTGTGGGTGTTTGTGTATGTATTGTACTAGTTTCCACATGCAGTTTTTTTTTTTGGTTTCTGTCACAGCTTTAGATCATCTTTTTTGGACAGAAAAGTCATCCGCTCACAGCCCAAAGAGCCAAAAAGTGACTCTTAGGGCTCTTTCTGTGATATACAGTACAGCTATACAGATTCAAGTTTACATCCAAATGAATACAGACATAGGTCAGTAAGTCAGCCCTATGTCCCATCCACTCACCCTCCCACCTCATACCTCACCCATCCATCCCTTCGCCGCTCACCCATTGAAAACCATTGAAATCGCCAACACAGAACATTGGTCATAGGGGGAGTTGACCAATGTCCGTGAGTTTTGATAATGACCATAGATGTTTTGGAATGTAAAGGTATGGATCCCCGTAGGGCAATCCATCCTCTGCATTTGACCCATCCTGATGCCGCTAAGGTTTACGTCAGGAGCAGTGGTCGCCGTAGTAACAGCGCCCTGGAACCCCTCTCCAAATGTTGATGCTCGGCTTGGTCAGGACTACCGGAGCTGGAGGATTTAACCTAGTGTGCATTTTTTTTAGTGGTAGGGGAAACCGGAGCACCTGGCTGAGTTTCCTGGATCATCTTTTTCCTTTTATCTTTTTCCTTGCTGCTGCAGGAGGAACATAAGGACAGTGATGATGATCCAGGAGACAACTACACTGCAAAAGATGACAGAATTAAAGACAAAAAAATGCTCAAATTTGGCTAAATGTATCTAAATATGAGCACATTTTGACTGCCTTAAAACAAGATTTGCCAGTGGAACAAGAAAAATTCTCTTGGAATGAGAAAATAAAGCAATAGTTCTTGAATCAAGTCAAAATTGCTTGTCTCATTGGCAAATCTCATTTTAAGACAGTCAGAATGAACTTAAGTCAAGTTAAAAAAAACTCGATTCTAGCAATTATGATCTCATATTTGATCATTTTTTGCAGTGTATCATTGCAATTCTTGAGTTTGAACTGATTCTCTGATCTCTGTTGGCAAATTCAATGGTTTTGAAAAGTCCTCTGAGATAACTACTGTTGTGATTTAGGGCTGCACAAGAATACATAGAATTGAATTGAGTAACCAGACTTGTTTAAGGGCCGACAACCAAGATTATAAACTGTTTTACAAAATATTATTTCTGGATATAATGTTATGGGCAATGGATTCTATTTTCATGCCCCTCAATGGACTTTACTGTTTCAAAATCACCACTCCCTGTACAGACGATAAAACTACAGAATTCACTAAATGGCAGCAAGTAAATGTTGATAAAAAAAAAAAAAAAGAATTTCATTACGTTGGGCAGATGTGGTCCACGGCCAATTCTGAGCCTGCTCCATGTGACTCGTCCTGAACCCTGTACTTTTTCATTGATAGATTTACGAGCTTCTCCTGAACGCACCAATGGCCTCTGTGCATGTAACGGCTAATATTATGCTAATGTCGCGCGGACTGACTGACCTGGAAAGACGGAGGTTAACGGCATGAATAACAGAACACCACAGAAGCCTGGGATCAGATGTCTGCACCTCGCTCCATGGCCTTCACCTGTGTGTGTGTGTGTGTGTGTGTGTGTGTGTGTGTGTGTGTGTGTGTGTGTGTGTGTGTGTTTCACTAGTTTCCACATGCAGGTATTTTTTTTGGTTTCTGTCACAGCTTTAGATCAGCTTTTTAAGACAGAAAAGTAATCCACTTACAGCCCAAAGAGCCAAAATGTGACTCACAGGGCTCTTTCTCACTGCTGCAAAATGTTTGTTCACAACATTTTACTTTTACTCTTTCTTTTGAGACAAACGACACAGTGGCTGAGTGGATAGCATTCTCGCTTCTCCACAAGAAGGTCCTAGGTTCAAATCCTGGTCAGAACAGAACATGGCTTTTCTGAGTGGAGTTTGTGTAGGTTTCCTCCAGGAGCTCCGGTTTCCCCTACCACTAAAAACCTGCACAATAGGTATGAATCTAATGAGTGAGAGAATTTATGGTGTTTGGTCAGAGGCTTTGATGTGCCAGTGTGTTCGGCGTCTCGATTACGAGGTGCAGAGCAGACTCTACCTACTTTCTCAAAACTTCAGGTTAAGACTGAGCTTACTTGAGGAAATGGGTGGAGTCTGCTCTGCTCCTCCTGGGTCTGAAAGAAAACCTGCAGCCCTTTCTGGACCTGTTGACCTAGGATGGTCAACAGGTGGTCTATGGTTTTCTAGGTCTAAGATTATTTTGGGGAACTGTCCTCGCCTGGTTTTCTTTGTGTAATATTGCTCATAAAACAGTCTTGTGATGCAGAGTCAAGCACTATACTTTTTTCAGTACAACCTGGGATTGTATAATATTAATACTGTACAGCTGTCATATCAATTGATGCCTGAGTGAGTCTGTAATAAAATTGAATTGAATTAAATTAAAGTTGTGGAATCATGAACACAAAGAAAAACAGAATTAAATCAATTTCACAAAAATGTATGTAAACAATTAAATGCTATAAACAAAATCACATCATAAGTGCAAAAACCGTTGTACGCCTGATGCCCTTCCATCAAGCAGTTTGTCTTCAACGAGGCCGGGGTTGGAGTGCTTCAGTATCACAAATCACAGTATCAGCTAATTTGCAGAAAACCTTTTGAAGTGAATCATCATAATCACTATTTTGATCATGTCTCTGCTGAAAAATTTGCAATACAAGTCAATATTAAGGCAGAGACCAAATATGTCTCAAAATAATTTTTTTCTTGCAAATTTGCAGAAATTGTTTAGATGTGGACTACAACACATACATTTTAAAACTTCCCATTTCCCCAAAGATAAACATGTTACTACTATACATTACTTGTTGGGGACTACACGCTAAAATATCATCTGAAAAGCAGCTAAAAGTGATGGAAACATGTGTTTGACCTTATGGTGAGGACAGAAAGCAGAAAAAGAGCAGAGCGAGAGCGTAATGAGAGCTGGGACTTGTCCGTCTCATCAGAAAGTGAATTAGTGTCTGAAATAAGCTCGTTCGAATATCGAGTTTCACAGATTACGTGGGGATTCGAGGAGCACAAATCATATTCTACATAATGAAGCAAGTCGAACAACGGGCCATTGTTTGTGGTCACTTTTGGGATTATTATTGTGGAGAGAAAAACATAACGGGACGACTGCTGAGACTGGATTAGAGATCAAACACGATGGGTTTCCATTTTTAATTTTAAAATGTTCTGCTGGCAATAGCAGATATATTTTGAACACCAAACCCTAAAAGCTGTATATCATTTTAAAGCTTAGTTTCTTATCTAAATTTATATACAAGACAAACTACATCAGACTTTGCATTCAAAAGATATAACTCATAATATGGGCACAGAATAAATCACTTCTGAAAAAGTGTTTTACCTTTGGGCTTGTGCTGCATAAATAAATCAGCTCTCCTCCCAGCTTCCAATACCTCTTTCACTCTGTAACTGTCCATGGAAAAAGAATATCTATTTGTATTTCCCAAAGTATAATCCATTCTGGAGAAATAATCCAAAAATGTGCATTATTCTTTGACAAAAAAAAAAGTTGAAATTTTTTTTTAGGCAAGGCTAAAGAAAATAGGTTTTTTTCCCAAACTTCAAAGAATGCAGAGTGAAATAGGAACGACAAACATTATTTCGTGTATATTTACATAAACTAGAAGGCTCTAGCTTTAATATGATGCATCACACAAGCATGTGAATGTAAGATGTGTTTTTAAATAAGCAAAGACATTTGGGTATGCCAAACTTTTGTGCACGAGCCAAAATAGAGGCGGGTGTTATAGCTCAACTTTTGCATTTGTGATTATCTTTGTGCATTTACTTTGAATTATTGCACTATTATTGACCATAGGTTTGGATATTCTTATGTGGGAGGTATGCTACAGTTATTGCTGGGATGACCCCCAGACTGACCAA